TAAAAATGGGAAAGATCTAAGTACGATTAAAACAGTATTTTTCTTTCCTACTTAGACTTTTTTTGGGGGAGATTAAATGTAACATTTTAAAAGTTCAAATCCTTTAAGTAAATTGTGAAACTACAACCACAGCTAAGTAGTGGTTTTTCTGGGTGGCAGGGAATATAAGTCATGTTTATTCCTTCTTTGCATCTTCCTGTATTTTATATATTTTCCGTGTTATATTCATGATAACATTTAAAAAACACAGCTGTTTATGTTAACTGAAAGAGAAATACGCTGTTTTGATGCATTTCTTTAAGTGGAGGAATTTAATTTATATGAATTTTCTAGTTCAATCTACAATGTAAGATTTCAAACAGTGATCTCTTTGGAAAAAAAGTCATCACTACAGTCATTTTTTAAAGACAGTTGGATAAAGAAGCATTACTTTCTAACAATTGAGTATATGACAGTAGCCAAGCAACTTAAAATATTTTACTCTTATTTCCCTAGTAAAACTAGGAACTACTAGCAATGCCCCAACCAGGTGTTTATTACTATATTGCCCTTGACTCAGCATATTGGCATGAAGTTTCAAAACATATAAATACAGGATGAAAACATTTGTCAATGGTTTTGTCCAAGAATGCATTGCTGAAAGTGTACAGATCTTTCCATCATACTTGCCGTACGCTCGTGCTGCTCCCAGCTGCTTTCCCAGTGAAAACAATCGGTAGGCTGAGACAATGTAAGAGGAAGCACAGCCTTTTTTTAATTTCTCAGCTATTGTAGGCATAGTTTAAGTGGATAGAGTCTAGAAGATGTAAATTCCTGCTAGATGCAATAATGCAATAATCCATAGGTCTCAAGTAGCATTGCTCAAATGTTGACTTATTTGATAATGCTTTAAAAATTACATTTTTCATTACTAGCAACAGCATTAGGTGGGTTTTATCTTATGAGAAGATACCCACAGAAGGGTGTAGTAGATACTGATGTGGTGATGAAATTTTGTCAAAATGTAATTTCCTGCTACTAAATCTCATGACAGGTGCATTGTATTTCTGCCTTCAGAAGTTATTCCTCAATGATGTAACCAGAGAGAATGTACTAGGAACATCACCACTTGATATTTGCACAGCGTCTTCTCTTAGGGGAATGTTTTGCATTTTTGTTTCCAGTTTCTGCTTGTTACAAATGAATTTTTGCATTTGTAAAATTTTGTAGCAACATTTGCTACCTCTGGTCAGTCAATTGTCTCTCTTCAGTCAATTGAAGTCATGTATATATAAAGGGTATTTTACATATGTATGCCTACGCGGGCTTTTTCCTTGTTTATTCTAGTCTTTATCATTGTATTTATGCTTAGGACATTGAATGACTGACTGACTGCAAGACTCTAGTATGGGCATTGCTTTTTTTCTTTTTAAAAACATATTAAGTTACACCAATGTTTGCCGTTTTTATGTGAGTCGATTTATTGAAGTTCAGCCTTGCTTGATTGCCAGTATGCAGAGCTAGGGAGATGTGGACAGATGAACTTTAGTCTCATTAAGCATATGCTGAGGTCGGTCTCTAAAGTGAGGAGACTTCCTTTCCAACAAACTCATCAGATCACTGTTGTACACAACTCTGCTTTTCAAACTTTGGTTTTGGAGCTCTTTGGCTTTAGATAATACCTCGCTGGGAACTATTACCCAGCTTAATCAGTTCCATTATTCACGATATTTGGCTTTCAAAGCTTTTTGGCTGTCTCCAAAGATCAAACGTGTCCTCAGAGGGCTAAGACTGGCTGTTATAGAGACTTTTCAAAAGAATATGCCCAAGGCTGAGCAGGCATTCCAAAAATGCTGCAAACAATGGCTGCATGACTGGAATAAGTATGCAGCTCCCAAGGTGGCTGTGATGAAGGACAGCTCTCACTGAAGGATGTCGGTGTCATTACTTAGCAACTCAACTTCATGTGCATACGCAAGTACACACACCCTGTACAAAGTCAAACAGGTGTGAACTTCAGACCTTCCCGTTACATTTGTCCAGCCCTCTACTGCCTGTTCCTATTGCCACCCCCCATCAGCATTTCCTCACACTTTTTACCACTTGCTTTCACTTTTTCATCGTCTCTTATGTCAATGCCACCAACGGGCAGCATTTGTGGCTTAGACAAGTGTTGATGAGGACTTAGGATGAAGGGTTTTGGAAAGTAGTGTGCTAAGTAAGACTTTGGAAGGAAGGTATCAATAAAATCAATATGTCCTTTTATTTCCTGCTCTTTGACCGTACTTGTGGATAATGACAGGGATCATTTCCAAGTGGCCCAAACTAATAGATCACAGCACCCAGTGAAGCAACATTTGTTTCCCTCTCCTCACGGGCCCTGGGTCTCTGTCGTTATGCATTCATGCAGCTTGGCACGTGTGTTGATAAAACAGGGTACAGTGTGTTCCTGTACGAAGCTGTTCACCCACCCCTTCTGGAGAAGAGCCAGATATGAAATGGAAAACATACCGTATGCCCTTTGCCTTTCCCCCATTTTATATTCAGCGGTTTGTTTGCTTGTCACAAGGCCGTTAATAAAATGTGGCCTTCCTGCCTAATTATAGGTCCAGAGGTGTGAAACGGTGTTGAGCTCTAATCTATATGTTCTGGTGGGAACATTCCTATATGCATTCAGGAGAAACTTGACAGTAAATGAGAGATCTGGAGCTTGTTGTGGGGAGTTGCCTGGCTTACCAACAGCTTGTGTAGGGATGGGCTTTCCTTTCATTCATCGACACCACACAGAATAAATCCTGTTTCTCTGGCGATTAAAGGGATAAACTTGGAATGCTTTCTTTTTTGTTGGTTTTTACACTGGGATCTTCATGCCAGGTCTTCATCAGTCAGTTCAATAGTTTGTTTACCTGCCTTTTAGATACAGGGTTAATATTTAAAAATAAACAGAAATCTCCTAAAACTAGAGTCCTCATTTGGTAAACTTTGACTAATCAGAAAACTGTTGCGTAATGAATGGTGACTGATCCCAGCCATAATGATTCCGTTCAGGAGGAGACAGGGAAAAAGATATTAGGTTGATACAAAAGTAATGGTGGTTTTTGCAATTTCTTTTATGGCAAAAACCACAATGACTTTTGCACAACCTGATATGTTGGTCCACACTTAGGTTTCGTGTATTTTAGAAGCCGTCACTATCCTTGTAGATGATGTGTATTATTACTGCTACATCTTGACCATATCACAATGTAGAATGTCCTGATTGTCTCTATGATTAGATAAAGACCTCTTAGCTTGTCATTGAAGGTTCTTCACCATCTACCTCAACCTACATTTGTAGACTTAATTCCTTCTACCCATCCTCAGATATCTTGGGGTCTAGTGAAGCCACATCCTCTACTTAGCCTGCTTATGGCTACCCTCTCACCCCGTAGGACCTTGTCATATGTCCTCAATGGGAAGTGCCCTTTTCCTTTTCATTTATTTAACTCCTACTTATTAAGTATCACTATGTGGCAAGCCTTGTGCTATGTTCTGGGGCTGTAACACTGAAGCAACATAGACACGACTCTGTTTCCACAGCCCCAGATTATTGTTTTTCTTCCCAAACCAAGCCAAGTGTATCAGTGAGGTGCTTCCTTATACCCCTCGCTTGGAGGACTCTTTCCATCCTCCATGTGTCTAGAGCTTTTGCTCCCATGCGTGTATCATGACATGTACTGATGTCTACTTCACATGCCATGTATTTCTGAACAGAACTTGCCTTCCTTTCTAGGATTGCTAGAAGGCGGGGCTGGCAACAGACTCCAACTCTGTATGCTTCCTAGTATTTACTGCAACCATGTACTCATTCAACAAGTATTTCTTATCTATGCTCTCTGCTAAATACCCTTCAGTGCATTCTATAGATACTGTTATTTATAGATAAGTTTTGAATGCATGAAAAACAAGGACCTCTAAAGGACTATGCAATGTAATACTTGGATAAAAGATGCTTTAGGAGGTTGAAAAAGAGTCTTCACTTGAAGGGGGAATCATGGATAGTGCCCCTTTAAAATTGACCTTCTTGAATTGCAAAGAAGAAATGCTGTGCCTCTGCCTAAATAACTTATTTCTTTCTTTCTTTCTTTTTTTTTTTTTTTTTTTTGAGACGGAGTTTTGCTCTTGTTACCCAGGCTGGAGTGCAACGGTGCGATATCGGCTCACCGCAACCTCCGCCTCCTGGGTTCAGACAATTCTCCTGCCTCAGCCTCCATGCCCAGCTACAGGCACATGCCACCATCCATGCCCAGCTAATTTTTGTATTTTTAGTAGAGAGGGGGTTTCACCATGTTGACCAGGATGGTCTCGATCTGTTGACCTTGTGGTCCACCCGCCTCGGCCTCCCAAAGTGCTGGGATTATAGGCTTGAGCCACCGTGCCCGGCCCTAAATAACTTATTTCTATCAGACATAGATCTGAATCCTTTTCTTCTCTTACTTAATGATTAAGTAAGTAGGTCTGTTGTTCTTGGGTCTCCCTTTGCATCTCAAATTTTTATGTCAGACAATGTTTGTGCACATTAAATGTTGATTTCTAACTTTGTAATGCGAAGCTCTGCAGCTCCACATTCTAAAATCTGCAGCTGACTTTTAACCAGAAGGAGATGGAACATAGACTGACTACAACTTGCTCGTATTTCATGGTCATTTTGTATAGCAATTGTAATGTATGTTTATGATTCGGTCACAACACCAAAGAATTTTCCATTTTTTTCTTTGCTGAACCTCTAAAACATCCAGATCATGTTGATTTGTTTACAGATTCCATACTGACTACTTTTAGTTAGTGATTTCTTTAGACTTGCATTTTGAAATAAATGAAAAGCTAAATACAGTTTGTCGATCTTATTTAGGTGCACAGTACTATTTATGCCCGTGGCTTCAGTTTATATGACGCTGCCCATTTTAAAAGAAAGGTTCTCAAGTAGTGATTGTTCATTTTGAGATGCCTATGGTGATGAATTCTTTCATTTTTCTTTCCAGAATGAAGACCTAAATGACCTCAGCAAATCCTCCTCTAACTCATGGGTACCTAGACTCTAAATATTTCGTGATTCACAACTAGGACCTCATATCTTGCTTGTCAGTAGATGGTACGATGCATCCATTTCAGTGTGTTTACTTTATCCAATCCTCAGGAGTTTGTTGACTGAACTGCACATTCTATATTGTGCCAAGCAAAATGAGCACTGTGACACCAGAACAATGAGTCTGCATAAACTTCGTCTTCAACTTTAAGGACTTAGCTGGCCACAATGAGCTGATGTGCCCGCCACCGTGTCTTGAGAGAATGAGTTTACTCTCAATGCATTTACAAGATACATTTCATCTGCTGCTGAAATTGTGTACAACAAAGCATCACTGTAAATTATTTCATATGAAACTGTTCACATTGGGTGGAGAGAGTATTAAATATTTAACATAGGCTTTGATTTATATGTGTAATTTTTTAAATGAAAATGTACCTTTTCTTACAGCACATATTTTTTTTTGGATGTAGGACTGAGGTATACAAGTTCTGTTGTAAACAGTGGAGCAAATGCTTAAAACAAGGCTTAAAAGAGTAGAGTAGGGTGTGTTCCTTGTTTTAAGATTGTAATTCAGAAAAAACAATAAGAATCATAGTGCCATAGATGGTTCTCAATTGTATAGTTATATTTGCTGATACTATTTCCTGTAATATCAACCTGATGTTGAGCTGAGTTCCTTATAAGAATTAATCTTAATTTTGTATTTTTTCTTGTAAGACAATAGGCTATGTTAATTAAACTGAAGAAGGATATATTCGACTGGGTGTTTTCAAGTGTCAGCTTAAAATCAGCAGTTGAATGGAAGCAAAATTACAAGAAGAGGAAATCAAAGTCTTCCATTGTATATATTGTAAAGAGAAGGAGACATGGGTAATTCCTTCAAATCAAAAGCTCTCTTTGGAATGAACAATGTGGGTGTTTGTAAATTCTGGAAATGTCTTTCTATTCATAATAAACTAGATACTGTTGATCTTTTCTTTTCTCCCCTCCCCACCCCCACTTTCTGTTAGTTTCCCGCTCTATTCCCACCATTTTTTTTCTGTGTACACATTATATTTCGTTTCCTGCATTGTCTTGAGAAGATGGTAAGACAAGTGAACGCTTGCTAACCAGAAATTAAAATTCCAGAAAGTGTTTTTCATCGTGACCAGGGCTACATGTCACTTTCCCTAAGACCCTTAACTCATGTTTTTTGAGAACTTCCAGTGTTACATTAGTTAACTGAATGTAATTGGCCCATTTGCCTTGGTGGGTGCTGGCCTGTTAGTGATTAGTTAATAAAACACAGTGTACAGAAAGCACGTAAAAGCTTAATGACCTGCTACTGAAACATGTAGCCATCAGTGAAAATGTTAATTCTTTTCTTGTTCGAAAGTATACAGGTCTTGGAATTTTTTTCCATGAGAAAAGGAAATGGCAATGAATACATTTAAATATATTTCTGACAGATTTTTAAATCTTTTTACCTGGAAGCTTCCGAAAAAGTTAAGTGAAATAATGCAAATATCAGGCTCCCTCTGAGTCAATATAAACTCTCTATCAGGAATTCCCAGCCCTACTATTGGAAGGAGCAACATTTTATTTCTCTGAGTGCCTAAGCTCCCTGGGTGGGAGTGGGGACTACAGGGAAGGGGCCAGGGTTGGAGGGCATTGTAGTGGCTGCTGCCTCCTGATGAACTGTTAGGGGACCCTAGCTCTACTCAAAAGGGAGCGGAGATAAATGGAACCCCTCACACTGCTGAGGCCTATGTTACTGTTCATTCAACCACATGGCATGTACCTCACAGACAGTTATGCAATGTTCATTGTTGCAGATTTTAATCATTTGCATGCTCATCAATTTCTAAGATAAATAGGGTCTAGAGTCATAAGAATCCATTGTTTTCAAGGAACTTGCAGAATGACATCATTTCCTATTAGTAGAGAGCACTACCCATTTGGAAAATCTGATAGAAAAGTTGTTTTTCACTCTTTCATAAAAAAGACTTTCTTAGTCAAACTAACTTTTCATGTTTTCAAGTAGTCTGATTCATACTCTTGCCAGTGGAAGAAGAGAGCAAGTGCCCTGATCTGTTTCTTTGAGGACTGAAATAGTTAAAAAGAAATCAATGAACAAAGTCACTACCAACCATTTTTCTGTAAAGCTGATTATTATTTCTCAAGGAACCTATATTTTGAATATCTGTTACCGAGATACCTCTGCATGTGTAATTCTCAACATGTTTTGGATGAGGACAGGAATGAACAGACTGGAAAAATCTGTCTCTATTTCTCTGACTTTTTTCTTGAGTCAAATAGCATAAAGGTAGAAATTCTTATGTAAGCTGCTTCTAGTGGTGCCTGACCTGGTTTTTATGGTGGCATCAAACTACCGATTTAAAACTGGAAGTTGCTGGTACTCAAACCAAAAACTCATGCTCTGGCGACAGGAAGAGTTTACTTTGAGCAACGTCAGCTGCTAAGTCCTTGTGTTCAGTTCCCATTGAGGAGAGCTGGCTTTTATCCATTTCAAAGGGTTGTAGGCCAGCCAAGGGCTTTCATTATTGAGGCTTCTAGTGGCCTCTGTTTAACCTAGAAGTTAGTGGGTTTTTCTTCGTGACACCAACCTCTCAGCTTTATTTCTTAGAGACTTAGGTGGAGTTTAAAAATTCTCTTTTGTGAAAAGAACAAATATATTTCACGACTTTGATGATATCTTCATTCTGGGCAAAAGAATGGCCCTAGAACCAGCTAGAAGTGAAGAGAATCCATTAATGATCAACCACCTGAGTCAATAATGACAAATCAGTACTGATGTTACATTTGTGGCTATTTCTCACTGACTTTCAAAGGTCAGGGACTCCCTTGACTAATCTAGTGACTGCAAAAATGGAGCTACTAAAAATCATCTAGCCAGAAGTAGAGATTTTTAACCTTTCTTTCTCTGGCTTTTGTATTCTAGCTGTCACATAAATTTGAGACATTTAAAGTATTAAGAAATAATTTTTCTGTACAGTAAGAAACAATATTTTACAAACTGAAGCGCTGTTTTATTCCATCTTGCATCCTGAATGCAATATACCACGAAGTTGGAAACCTTAATTTTATTTACTGCAGGTGGTTAAAAAAAGGGGGGATGGGTTTCACTATCCACAGACAATGACAACCATGAAAAATAGTCTCCATACGCATTGTTCCAGCTGCTGGTGACAGTGATCCTATATTTGGTCTCATGCTACTTTTGCAGAGAGCTCTGTAGGTCAGTCCATCACACAAGGAGGCCCTGAATCCAGACACTGTGAATTAAGACCTTGACTGGGAAGACACATGACCCGTTTGGTAGGCATGGGAAGGAGAATTGGTGGAAGCCAATATGAAATTTCTTCTTTGCAATGACTTGACAGGGCAGTTAATGTTCCTAGAATGCCATGAATGATGAATGTTAGTTGGAAGTAATGCTGTATATGTATGTATATATATACATATATAGGGGGCATGCACACGTGCACGTGTGTATGTGTATAGGCTGGTAAGAAACTCGAGAGGAAGAAACATGCTCTTCTAGAAATGTGAGGAAATATGACCTTGCCAAGACTAAAAGACCTCCATACTGTGAGCTCAGTTATGGAGAACAAAAACAACATCCTAGGCAGTAGAACGATGATAAACACTGGTGCCGTGCATCATGTCTAAGGCAGTGCCACAGAACTTCATGGTCCTTCCATAGTTCTGTAAGTTAGTTTCCTAAGTTTGGGTAAAGAATGTGTAGCCTGTTGTGTGTCTCAGCTTTGGAAGAGAGCATCAGATTAGGTGCAGGGAGGAGGTGGAATGATATTGGAGGTGCTTAACCCTACTCGAGGAATTTATGAATAAAGAGCTTATATTTAGCTAGTATGATTAGAAAACACGTAATTAGGTGGAGAGTTATCTTTCTTTTCTAGTTTGTCAATGACTTGGCATTTGTGACGTATACACCGAAAGATCTGGTGTTTTAGAGTTCTGCCATTCACCTGGCATTTAAATGTCTGTTTGCTTATGCTGTTAATTTTTCCAGTGTTAACCAATATGCCATATGATAGGACAAATTCAGTAAACAGGAAAACTTGTCTGTATGTGCATAGACATTTGTAGAGATTTTTTTTTCTCTTTAGAACTTTGCCATTGGCTTAAGAATGTAGTTCCCACAATTTTTTCTTGCAAAGTACTTTCCTTACACCTGTTGGCTATAGGGTGGGCCAAATTAAACACATATGTATTTTCATTTAATGTGTGTGGAGTTTGGTTTATCATCTTAAGATGGTGGTGCTGCTCCCGGTGCTACTTCATATGTGTACACAAAGACCAATGCATGGTCTGTATTGCTACCAAAACATTTACTGTATATATGTGTATAACATGTATTATGTACATATGTAATGGGTACCAGGCCAGGTATATAATTTTTATTTAGAAGTGTTTCACTTTTCCAAGTTTTCTTTATAGTGTTATGCTTATTTTCATTTTTTTTTTCCTGATTCTGTCTGGTACTTAGAATTGTAGTGTCTTCATCATCAATTAAAGAAAATTGTCTAAATGAATTCATGGATGTAAATGTTAGTGGTCCTTAATGTCTTTGATTGCTGGACATGAAACAAACTGCCAATTAAATTTTGCTAGGACATTTGATTGGGTAAGAGCAGTGTATGCTGTTTAACATGGTTTCCTAAATGATTTTGGAACAGATAAGTTGGCCTCACCCTACCACTCTTCAGTTGGCTTCCAATGGCCACGTGCATAAAGAAAAAGACCTCAGTCAAGACTTTAAGCTGCTTTTGATGGTGGTGCTGGCAAAGGGAGGGAGGAGAGGGGAGTACGACTCCATCCTCTTGGTGGAAAGTTTTCTGATTTTTTAATATGCATTCTTCAATTTGCACACAGATCTCTTAAAGAGTTTGTTTGGCCAGGCGTGGTGACTCACGCCTGTGACTCCAACACTTTGGGAGGCTGAGACGGGTGGATCACGAGGTCAGGAGTTCAAGACTAGCCTGGCCAAGATGGTGAAACCCCGACTCTACTAAAAATACAAAATAAAAATTAGCCAGGCATGGTGGCAGGCATTTGTAATCCCAGCTAGTCAGGAGGCTGAGGCAGAGAACTGTTTGAACCCGGGAGGTGGAAGTTGCAGTGATCCAAGATTGTCACACTGCACTCCAGGCTGGGCAACAGAGTGAGACTCCATCTTTAAAAAAAAAAAAAATAATAATGAAAGAGTTTGTTCAAATGCAGATTGCCATCTCAGGGTCTGGGGCCAGGCCTGAGATCCTGCATTTCTAACCGGCTCCCAGAGGAGGCCAGTCGGGCTAGTTCTGATGACACTGAGTACTGAGGCAAAGCAATTGGTGTTTCTCAGGGCTGGCTGCATATTCACGTGATCTGAGTGGCTTTAGAAAACATGCCATGGCCAGGCCAACTCAGGGGATGCATGCTGATTGAATTGGTCAGAGGTGTGGCCTGAACATCCATTATCCTTGCTGCTCCTGCAACAACATGATAGATGATGCTTCCCAGCAGATTCTAGCAAGTGGTCAGTGCTAAGCACCAGTGCCAGAAAGAATTGCCCAAACTTGTCTGATTACTAGAGCTGCTATTAGAAATCCTCATTCTCTAGAGTGATCTAGGAATGTGCAGTTTTAAGAAGGAGACTCTTCTGCTTGGCAAGTTGAGGATATCCTGATTTCTGTACAACTGGAGTTTTGTGGGTCATTTCACTGCTAGAAGGGATGATAACACCTGCAATTTTGAAAATAATAAATCATGTTGCAAATATCAAAGCAGTCAAGCCCTCCCCTGTTTCTTTTAGCTACCTTGCTTAAACAACTTAAAACAGAAGATGATTGAAGTGTCCTATGTTTTAGGGCAAACTCATGTTATTGGTTACTTTAGTATTTTAAGGCTAGGCATGGTGGTTCATGCCTATAATCTCAATGCTTTGGGAGGATGAGACAGGAGGGTCACTTGAGGCTAGGAGTACAGGACCAGGCTGCAGAAAATAAGTGAGACCCCATCTCTACAAAAAAATTAAAAATTTAGTCAGATGAGGTGGTGTGCACCTGTAGTCCCGGATACTTGGGAGGCTGAGGTGGGAGGGTTGCCTGAGCCTCTGAGTTTGAGGCTGCAGTGAGCTATGATTATACCACCACACTCCAACCTGGGCCACAAAGACTCCATCTGAAAAAAAAGTTTTTAATTAAAAAAATTTAATACTATTACAAAAATTTTTATGAGCGTAATGCTCCACTGAGAGTATGAAGGCCGACTTTTCCACCCTTATTTGGTGCACCAGGCTAGAGGGATCTTCCTTCTGTCTGCCAGTGTAAGTGACAGTTTTATTGTTTAGAAGCAGCACACATCACAATTCAGTAAATGCTTAAAGTCATTATTTGATCTTCACTTTATATTAGCTTCCTCCATTTATACTTAAACACTGATTTTTCCCTCCCAGTGGTATTGCAAAGCAAACATCACTCTAGTCCCTGTTGAAATTACATGTAAGCATCACTAATTAGTATTAATTTGAGGTAAGTCTAGTTGGAATGAGTAGTGTGATTTATAGCATAATTGTCTGATTACCTTTACACATATACAGAAACAAACAATAGCAAGTAAAACATTGTCAATGAAGGGCCTTTGAGAATTAATGGCCAAGGAGAATTTGTAATTACCTCATTAATTCTATTATTAAAAAATAGCAACATTTATTCTGCATTTATTGTAGATTAGCCACTAGGATTTATATCAATCATTTTATTTTCCCAGCAACCCAGAGCTAAATAAGGGATAAGTCTGTGGTAACAGGCTGCTGAAGGGAGGAACTGCTTTCCACACTGAGGACTTTTTTTTTTTTGAGACAAGTCTCGCTCTGTCACCCAGCCTGGAGTGCAATGGCAAGATCTTGGTTTGCTGCAACCTCTGCTTCCTGGGTTCAAGAGATTCTCCTGCTTCAGCCTCCCAAGTAGCTGGAATTACAGGTGCATGCCAATACGCCAGCTAATTTTCATATTTTTTGTAGAGACAGGGTTTCACCATGTTGGCCAGGCTGGTTTCGAACTCCTGACCTCAAGTGGTCCACCTACCTCAGCCTCCCAAAGTGCTGGGATTATAGGCGTGAGTCGCTGTGCTTGGTCTGAGGACTTCTTGATGATTTATATTCTCATTGACACCACTGCAAATCTCTGGTTTCCAAGTACTTAAAAAATAATTTTCCATTAATTAAAAACATTGTTACTCCAGCTGCCTTGTGTAACAAATTCACTGAGCAAACATCATCTCACATGAGCCTGAAAGTAAAGCTCTAGCCAACTGATAACTTTCACCCTATGAGGTTACAGGGCCTTATTCTATTTATTTCTATTCTTTGTTTTCGTATCTAGCTTAGGTCATTTGTGTCAAAAGTCATTTTCTGGTTCCCTATTTATTTTCCCAATGAGTGCACCTCTTTTCATCAACAGCATTGAAATATCTGGCTTTATTGTACGAACACACAAGGACAGTAGGTTAAATGTGAAAGCCATGTGGAATCCTAACAGCTGTGATTTTAGGCATTAAGTTTTATGTATTACCTCCTGTAAACCCTTTTATGTTAGAACTTTTACTATTATCTGTCAGGGATATCAATGTTGAGAAAAATGCCAAGATTGGCAATGAGAAAAATGGGGAGGCAGATGCTTGAGTATCATCTGAATTGGAGAACGAGTCCTCACCTGAAGTGAATGAATGATAGAAGCCTCCTCTCTGATATATACCCAGTGCTTCTCAAAGCTTGAGCTGCAGACCGCCTGTATCAGAGTTTTCTAAAGGGCTTAAAACAATACAGATTTTAACAAGGGCTATGGGAAACTATATTAATAAATAGTTTCCCAATAACACACACACACACACACATACACACACACACACACACACACACACACCCCTCTTTTCTCTGGGGTTGTTCTACACCTGACCTCAAGTGGTCCACCCACCTCCGCCTCCCAAAGTGCTTTAAGGACATGTTATTGGAGTTCATTAGACAATATCCTTGGAGGAACATATTACTGGAGTTCATTGGGCAATAACTTATCTGCTCCCATTTCTATGTTAGTTGCCCCAAATCTCAAGGACTAAAGTCCCATAATTGTAGATGTGAGAGAAGAAATCATACAGCAGGAGTTCCTCATTTCTCCTGAAGAGCAAACAATCCATAAAGTAGAAATTAGTAAAATTTGTCTAAACTTACATAGGAAGTAGCATGAAAATAAGAATATTAAGTAAATTTTTATACACAGCATCATACAGAATTTTTCTAATTCTATAAAATAATTATATATATATATGTAAATGGAAGGCTCTGCTCCATAATATTAAAAAAGTGGTATGTCTGATGGCATTGTGGATAATTTTTCTTCTGAAATTTTTTGTAAATTTTTATAATAATAGTATTACTTTCTATCAGGAGAAAGAAAATAATAAAATATTATTTAAAAATACAAAGGGAGTTGGATGAGAATCTTAGTGAATTTCCAGATTTAATCTTGCTACTCCATAGTCTATAAATCAAAGATCAATTCCCCACTATGACCTGGAGGCCAAATCCAGCCTGCTGCCTGTTTTTGTAAATAAAGTTTTATTGAACATAACTGCACTCATTCAATTACATATTGCCTATGGCACTATGACAGAAGAATTGAGTAGCTGCAACAAAGACGGAATGGCCTGAAAAGTTAAATACTATTTGGCCCTTCATAGAAAATGTTTGCTGGCTTCTGCCATAGATGTTTTCAAGACAGAATTGGGATCTGAGGCAATGTCCCTTGCCCTGGGCTTCTGAAATTCTCCTGGACCTGCTAAAAAAGCTATCCTGGAAGATGTTGGAGTTTTTTGCTGCAATTACAGTGCTGCTGGAGAGAGTTTATGCTTTCCTCTGGCTCCACATGCAATTGATTGTTGAAGTGCTCATAGGACTTCTTACAAGTGTTTATCTACAAACACCAGAACACTATTTTATAGCCAGGCAAGTAAATACAGTTGAGCTGAATTAGAGTAGAGCTAGGATGATACTTTTTTTTTGATACTTCCCTCTTTCTAGGTTAAAAACAAACAACAAAAAGTAGTAATCAGTCAGAGTTGTCCTTTTCGAATAGACATTGGGTTTCCTGAAGGGTCCACAGGAAGTTCAGAGCAGATTGTGGCACCCAGAGTGACAGAACCTCAACTCATAGGAGGGACTACATACAGGCAGGTCTTTTCCATTCTTGTTTTCTATCTTATGGTCAGCTGCAGTTCTGAGAATAGAGAGGAATCCCAGGAACATGAATTCTGTCCAGGAAGACAGTGCACAGTAACCTATCAGAGGAAAATAACATATCTGGTGGTTATTGGATTAAAAGAAAACATTGTTCTAAACGGAGTCATGGATAAAATAGAAAGGTGTTTCCTTGACATTTTAATCTTAAAATCCCAATATTCATTAATCACACCCTAGGGGCCTTGTCCAAGGTCACCCAGTTGGAAAGTGGGATTCCAATTTAGTTTCATTAATAATCCAAACACATGGAAACTG